AAAGGGGAAGTCTTCTGGTTTAAAAAAAAAAGAATTTTCGGTTCGCATCCGGAGAGAAAATTTAGACGGAAATGGACGGAAAGAATGATGCACGTATATGAATGAGAGAAATGAGAGAGTGAGATATGTAGAGGAGAAAAGGGAGGACAGAGAGAGGAGGAAAGGGAAGAGAAAGACTCCTGACCTCGGGCAAGTTGTATGTGGAAAGGTCAACAGTTGTGCACTGGAACCAGTTCCCCTGTCCGCGGGGATCGATCTGCACGGAAAGAGTGTTGCCCTGCGAAACAAAGGAGGGAAGTAGGAGGGTAGCGAATGATGAGCCAAGAGGAATATGGCAGGTTCAAAGAGGCGTACGGGAATGCCGGTTCCCGGAAATCACCAAGGGTACAGGACCGAGAAGAAGGGGTATAACGATTCCAACAGAAGGGGTGCGTGCATCGACGACTTGCTTCCGATCCCGCCATCATACATCACGAGGATAGATAGTGACCCGGTGCAGGCCGTGAAGGAAAGACCACGGGGAGGAGTGGAGGGCGTACCTCGATCGTCAGTTTCGCTCGGCTGGAGTTGGTGACCGAGAAATCTGCGCGCTCTCCGTGGTAGCGAATGGAGGCGTCACTACGGGGAGGGGGCAGGAAATACGTACGAAACGGGCGTGACACGTCTCGAACGGCACGATGAAAGCCGTGAAAACACCCACATGTGCGAATTATCAAGGACAAAAAGAGTTGGAAAAGAGGGAAAAGAAGGGCGAAAGAGGGTCTGCATGCGCACCATCCGTCGAAACCGGTCAGGACTTCCTCCCGACTGCGGTCCCCATTGTTGACAAAAACCGCCACGTCCCGATGCCGCGTTCCGTGCTCCGTGTTGCGGAAGGTGTCGAAGGCCACTCCCACGCCTGTAAGGGGGAAGAAACAGGAACGAAGGGAGAGACAGGGGGTGAAACAAAGCACAGGCCTTGTCGAGGTGGAGACACACACACTGAGTGCCGTGCCAGGGCCGAGGTCGGGAAGAGAGGTGAGGAGGGAGGGAAGGAGGTCATGAAGAGACGCACCTACGAAGGCATGGGAAACCCCATGCAGGTCCCCTTCTTGCCAATAAGGGCTCTCCATGACCCAAAAGCCGATCCCGTCGCCGAAAAACTTCTTTCCCTGCGGAGACATAGCCGGGTATAAAAGTTTAAAAAGGGCGGGAGTGAGGGAGAGAGAAGGAAGAAAGGGACGAAAGGCAGCTATCCTCCTGCCATTTCAACGCGCAAAATTACCAAGAGCCCAGTCGCGGACCAGTACCGCTCTCGGCAGCAAGCACTTTCCCTGTGCCGACTCTGCGAACGGCGGGGCACGGCCCTGTCCGCTTCCGGTCGGTCATTAATGGGCCGAGTTATCCCGAGCGACCACCCCAGCACTGTCCTTGTGAGCATGGTGTCCGGGCGCACCCCACTTCCACCCACGCCTTGAGACGTAGACAAACCTCCCTCCCTCCCTCCCTCCCTCCCTACCTGCCCATGGATCCTGAACTTCAGTGTCATGGTCACGGCGTCTACCCCCAGCGCTTTGTGCGACCAAAGCGCTCCTATCTTGGACTGGCGGTCCGGGGTCAAGCTGTTCGTGGAAGCGAATTCAAAGGAAAATTCTCAGAAATTTCTCGTCCTTTATGTGCTGGCATCTATGCCCACCATCCCATGCAACACTCATTCCCACACGGCGACTTCTATATTCTGCTATTCATTTTTTCTGCGACCCCCCACTCCTTCCATCCCTCTCTCCCCTTCCTTGTCCATTCCCCCGCAGCACGCTATCCTCCCCGATACGCCAGATCCACACGAGGTATTCCCCCCCCTTTCCCCTTCGTATCGACTTTGCCACGTACCGAACAAAGTTCTGGTTGACCTGTGTTTCCCCCGCGGGTGACCAGTCTCTGTTCGCGCCCAGGCAAGGAGAAGAGAGGCGAAGGGGCATTTAAGGTGAAGGAGAGAGGTGGAAAATTGGAGGGAGGAGAGAGTGATGGGGGGGACAGAGAGCGGGGGTTCCGTGAGAAAGGGCATCTAGAGAAACATGAAGACGGAAAAGAGGCGAAGGATCTATCAAAGGAGAGGGCATAGAAGGCCGCCACGATTTGACGACATAAACGAGGAGTGGGGAAGTCACACAGGAAGGTGATGAAGAAAAAGCAAAGGGACCAAGAAACTTTTGAGAGGCAAGGAAACACCACTTTCCATCCCAATCCCAACCATTCAATCTATGCACGGGTCGACCGGGCTGAAATGAAGGGTGGACCATGCGGAGCGCAGCGGCCCTTAAAGGGGGAACTCGACACATGTCCGTGCGCCCATGGTATTTGTGTCGATTCCAGCGCTCCGAGCACCCACCTGCTAACAAAACGCTTTCCATCCACTTGCACGTCGTTGAATGGGGCCGAAAATGAGTGAGAGAGCATCAGCTCTCCGCTGACAATGCCGATCATTGCTAGGCAGCACATCCACACGAGACAGAGCAAGCGGCTTCCCGATCGTGCATCTCCCCTTACAACGACCATGGCTGCTACGATGTAGAGCGAGTGCAGCGAAGCTAGTAGCTGGTCTGATTGCGTGAAAATGAAGAAGGAGTGAAACGACGCGAGTAAAGACGGTGAGCTCATCAAGACTGACTGCCCCCCCCAGCCAGGCATTGTGATGACCTCTGAGGGAGGATTTGGAAGCCGAGTTCCCAAAACGGACTTGCATCCGAATTCCGCCTTTCGGCGTACTCCACATCATACTTCTAGCCAGTGACGTAAATGCGACCCCAGTGCTTACACGGTTGCCACCACTGTATGCCCATTTTGACTGGGAGGAGCGGAACGTAAGCGTTCAAAGTTTTTTCAGTGCCGTCACCGAGGGTCACGCAAGGTGAAAGAATGTCACCATTCAGCCACCACCACCTGGTTCTAAAACAAATTTCCACGTCCCACGCGTGCATGCTGGTCACTTGCC